TTAATCCAACTTTCTTCTCAGTAGCTGCCCCTCAGTCGCTGTGAACCTGAGATGACTATATTAAAGATATCCTCTGTCAGTGACATCTTACTTAGAGTAGAAAAAAGCCTGAGGATTTAGTGTTGTCTGAAGCCTCAGCTTTCGACTCACAGGTATCACAGCCTTTGTACTATTTTGGGGTTTTTTAAATAGTCCTCTATTTGAGGCTTTTCTGTTTTTCAGGTTTGTGGAGTTTTGATTTTTAGTTTTGGGTAGTTTGAGGCTTAGACACATATTTTAAGTCCCTTTACAAGGTTTCTAAGGTCCCTGCATTTTCTTTAATCTAGTGATAAATATTGCTCCCTCATTGTTCCCTGACTTCTTGTTAGGTTTTTTAAAAACTCAGGTCAGTGTTACTTTTGGTTACTGTTTCTGTTTTACATTAGAGGTTAGTTTTCTGTTGTTTGCTGTGTTAGTTTTGCTTCCTCTCAGTACTCCAGATTCCCTAATTGCTCTCGGTTTCTGTTAATTACGTTCGTCTTTACCTCATTTCTCCTGTTTGTCACCCCCCAATCAGTCCTCAGTGTATTATCTTGTAACAAGACCAAGAGCCATGTTCTAATGTTGCTTCAGTCTCATCTGAACACATCCAAACTGTACAAATGAACTGAAGAAGTGAAATACAGCCAACAACCCAACTGTCAGTGGACAAGCCACAACAAACAAAGGCTTAAAATTATGAATACTGACAAAAAAAGTTGTCTGCTTCTGTTGAGTCCAGCTGATCACAAGCTTCCCACAAGCTCAATAGAAGAAACTGAAGAAGATGATACTATTCCAAATATAGAAAACTGTATTAAGAATCCCAGGTGCTTCTTTGTTTGGATTCATTGAAAGCCAGTTCTTTTATTTATTTATTTTTTACTGATATGCAATTCACAGCACAAACAGCATCAATATAAAGCCCACATTGCACTCGGTTGCATCGATTTTCACAGCAGCATGGTCTGATTGCCTCCCTGCGGTCAAGGTTACGTAAGACAAGCTATGATGAACAGGAATGAAGGAAATTCTGTCAGACTGCATTGATCTGCCATACTGCAATTACATGAGAAATCTGCAAAAATCCTTGTTTTTAAATGTGGTTTCTGATTACTGAATAAGAAAACCAGCACACCACTGAATACAAATGGGGTTAATTAGTACTGTAATGATCAGTAGAAATGCCGCTATTGCCAAGCTTCACTTTGCAGAAGCACTGTTGAGTTGGTGCTCTGGGAAACGCAGCTTTTCACAGTCACCATTTACAAGAACAGTTGGACACAGCTGCACAGGGTTAAAATAGATGCAGAGATGAAGCTGCAGTTCTGTGTTTTGCTTGGAGAAGGACAGCGTGCAATGCTGATGCTAGATCAAAAAGGATTCTGAGCTACTCTAGCTTTTGATCCTTTCACATTGCCTTTTATATTATGACAAATTCATAATACATCTGGGCATCATAACTACAACTGACACACTGAAATAATTAGTTCAGCACATGTGCAAATAATCACTTTGGGCACATTTTGTTTCTATCCAAACTATGGTTATCTCAGGCAATTTTAGCTCTGAGAACCACCATGCCACTGTGCTACCCCTTGCAATAGTATAAAACATGTGCATATTGTTTGCAAATTAATATGTAAGTTACCCATATGCCCAATTTGTTATATATTCAAAGAGGGTTAAGCATTTAACCATGTTTGAAGCTGACCTGTGTTCAAGCAGATTGTACCTGGAAAAATAGTGAGCAGGAGGAAGATATAAAGAGAAGGAAAGCAATGAAATTTTAAAAAAAAAAGCAGAGGGCAGATGGTATGAAAGAGGAGAGGAAAAGGGATGGAGGGTTAGAGGGAGATATCAGAGACCGGTCTTTCTTGTTACTGTTCTTTTTCTCAAAGAAATAAAACAGCAGGTACAGCCAACGTCTTTTGGTTAATGAACTACTGAATTTTGAAACCTATGTTAGTCAAAGTAGAAAAAAAATCTTGCCTTTGATTCTTAACCTTAACTTTAACCACAGTCACTGCTAGATCAAGTGAGAGCACTCAGCGATAATAACTTGCTTCTTTACCAAACAGCAGTCAGCTCTGTTAACTGGTTTATCCATGACAACAGGAGATTTAATCAAAATGTTAAGATTGTAGGTTAACAGCTTAACCACAGTTAAGACCTTTGACTGGAGTCTGGCCAACAGAAGGATTTTAAGTGACGTAAAAGCTTAAGGAAACTGTGTTTCTTAATTTGTCATCAGAATGGAGTGAGGAGAAAAAAAGCGCTGCCCAGACGTAGTTAATCTGTGTTTGTTATGTCTGGAAAGTCATCCATTTATCTTGTCATCAACACATTGGCATCTTAGCTAGCTAGGACCTAGAGATTAGGTACAACCTTGGAAAAGTAACTAAGCAAATGTAGATAACAAATTTACAAATTTTACAGCAATGTTGATAGGAATCTTTGCTTAGTACACTACAAGTAAAGTTTCTGCTTCTACATTTT